ATACACCTGTGTTGCAGTTTTTGTTATATAAAGTTTTTGGACAGTATATTTTTGTATTTTATTGATTGTGTTAATTATTTTTGTCAACATACTTGCAGGTTCATTAAGGACATGTACCATGCTCATTTCCCAAATGAGGAATTTCTGTTATCAGGACAAATTGGACAGCGCAAACACGAGTCCGCACTAGAGAATATTTACTGTACTTGATAGACGGATAGATATATTGATTCATGATCAATGGACTTTGCACACAAGTGGGGAAAATTCATCACCCAATTTCAACACGCCACACTGAGGGGTTAGTCAACAACAGGAGGCATCTCTGTGCGAGATACCTCACAAACACAGCAATGGCGATGCTGCTCGAGACAAAAAAAAAAACCTCGGAATAATGCAGGTGTTGTCCGACCCATTGCCAGGCTGTAAGCGTTTTATTATTTCAAAGCGGTGCGTTATTTGTACATTCATCACAGGACGAACACAGCAGAACTACAGAGTATCACATGACTTGCGCCTCTCATTTCGTTCCAGTCAGACGAAGTCATCATGTGGAAAAGCACAGTGTGAAATCTTAGTTCAACTAAAAAAAAAAAATTAAGTTGAAATGGGCTAACCTTCTTTTTGTTTTTAAGTTCACTTCCATCCCACCTTTCCTGCTTGTTCAGTGACACATGAACGGATTGGAGAAGTGCTGTTTTTCCCCCTCAAACAAGTACTACCAAGTGCACGTGTACCGTTGGACGTGAGGATTTCCACGGTTGTTTCAAAGACACTGCGCCCCTCCTGCGGAAGGACTGGTTTAGCACGTTTTTAAAGCCCTCTTAGTGTGTGGACAGAGAAGCACGAAAAGCGACACCGAGTCATATGAAGAAGAGCGGGGGGTGTAGACCAGTGTTCTCCCATTGAGGCCTTCATGTATCAGTGCAGAAATCTATTGGGGGAAAAACGGCAAAAAGCATGTCCACTGCCATGTCATTAAAGGCCCAGCAACAAATGTTTGGCCAGAGCGTCTCATGTCAGAAGGACCACACATCACACACTGGCCGATGTCCTCTTTTTGACACTTCATCTACCCAAAAAAACAAACAAACAAACAAACAAACATCTTCACACACATGGTTCCCACAAAGCAGGCATTGGAGGGTTTCATCTGCAAAGTCATCCCAGTGCTCGTCCATGTCAAGCGAACATCTGCCCGGGACCGCCGGCGTGTTTCTTCTCGTTGCTGAGACGCTCCTGGTTCTGACGCCCCACGTTGTCGTTGGACTTGATGACGGCGGCGTAGTCGTGGATGCCCACCTCTAAGTTCTTGGCTTTCAATGCGGCCGTGTGGAGCTTCTCCAGGAAGTCCGGCATGCCTGGCAGTTCATGATAAGACACATTTGTCATTTTTTTTGGTTTGTTTTCCATGGTAAGCGTCTTATTTCTGAGTTAGAAAAATAGCCACCAAAATAACTACAATTTCACTAGAAATGACACAGACTCCTTCAGTAGAAAAAGCACAAGTACAGTATTGTAAACTTTTTTTTAATGACACTTTTATACCATCAACACAACAGATGCGAGATAAGATGCTCACCACTTGACACCATCCAGCTGACACAGTAACGAGGGAAGGCGGTCTGAGGGTCGTCACTGTACGTGAGCAAGTAGTCAAATCCATTCTGTCGACATCGTCAATCGAGAAGTAGTTTAGACAGTTGACTTTGGATTCCGCCACGTGAAAATATCAACGTTTTTAGCAGGACGCAAAATGAGCAGGTTCGACTCGAACCTCATCGAAGGACTTGTGAGGACGGATGACCATCTTGGATTGATAAGAGTGAACTCTCACATAATCCTGAGACTCGGGAACACGGGGGTGCTGCACGGCTCTAATGGGCACAGTGACAAAACAATAAATCAATCAAATGGATAGCGCCTTCGAGTACAGAAAATACGGTAATAATTATAATAATGTGTCCTTTAGTAATTGTTTCTTACCTAGACACGAGGATCATTAAGTTGCTTTCCAAGTTGACCTCATAGCGTCGGACATACACGTAGTCCCTGGAATACATGGGATACTGTGGAGGAAGAGTAGACATTATTTTAAAGAGATATTTGTGGTTCATAATCCGTACAGTGGTTTTCAAAATTTAAATGTAATGATCTTTTTTTTTTTTAATGTACCGATACTAAAATAGTGTTTTAATAGTTGCACAAAAGCCTTTTTAAAAAGTAAACACTGCATAAATGTGAGACAAACCTTTCTCAAAGATGAAATGCAAATGCATATGAACTAAAAAGTTAAATACAACTGAAGGGTATTTTTGGCAGGGGTTCTTTCTCGTGCCACGACCACACTGTGCGAGTTACCGAGTGAGCAGATATATTTAGAAAGTAAATCGAGAAGAAGGTGAAGGGGAACTAACGGGAAAGTGAGTAGCCCAGTGTACAACTTCTGAGCCGGTGTTGACGTCCCGGTCCACCACTTCCAGTTTGATGACCAGACTGTCCCACTTCTTCCTGTACTCTGTGTCCAACTTTGGCCAAAGACAAAGCAGCGGTCAGTCAAGTGTGGATCTATTTATATTACATAACATGGTGTTGGTACAAACATACCAACACGGATGTTAACATTGCCTTGGTGACAAACAGATTGTGCAAGAGGTGACTCCAAAAATGACATGACATACACGATATACGGTAGTTGGCTGGAATTGCACTGCTTTGGTATGTTAAACATGTTTACAAAAACACAACAAACATGCTTTCTGTCTTAAATACTGTACAATAATCAAAGCATACATTATTAACCCTTTCAGGGACAGCGGTTACTACAGCGGACAGCTTATGTTATCAAGTTACAGGGTGCATGAAAGGGTTAAAAAAAAAATTCTGATTAATGTCAATAAAAAAAAAAAAAACTGACATAAATTGGGTGTCCAAATACTGTTTTGTCCTCCTATCTGTGCTACTTTGTGCAAACGAGTATGTCTAACACGGACCTCGGGTCAGAGCATTAGGCCATTTCAAACTAGCGTGAGATCATACAAAAAGACATTTGTACCTGCACATTGAAGAACTGCCTTGGTGTGACGTCAGTGTATGAGCCCAACACTGCAATAAAACACAAAGAGAAACGAATGTTGACGGCGCAAACGGCACACATGCATCGCGAGCCACTTTAGTCATCGCTAACCTCTGTACTCGTACAGGTGACTGTCGGGGATCAGTCGCTTCCACACGCGGAAGTCCTTCTTCTCCATTACAACTTCCCAGCCGGGCTCCGCGCGACCGCTCGCCGCACCTGCGTATGCGTTGAGACTCTTGACGGCCTCGAGGGCCTGCAGCTCCAGCCCACATCTGCACAAATGTACAAATATTGCAGCATTGCAAAGTTGCGATTTGTACCGGCAATATGCAAACTCAGCAAGGCAGACGAATCTTACAACCCAGATGCAGAATTGATATCTTCTACTTTTATAAACATGACAGTGACATGTCTTGTTTCAAATGTAAACTTGCGCATTTTACTTGATTTGTATGTATGCAAATGTGTTGTTCTTTTTTTGTTTTTAAATACCTGAGTTCATACACAATGAGAACAAGTTTTGGTGGGCGATCACGGTTTCATCATGTGACTGAAAGAGTTCCCTTTGGTTGGGATGTCGGACTCATGTAGTAAAAGCTTCCAAACCTGTGCATTTCCTCATCTTGAATCTTCTCATTGTCCCACATGAAGACCCCTGCAAGGGCCGCGATCAGCTTGCCCGGGGAGGGATGCTTGCTCTGGAACCTGCGCCAAAAGCTGCCCACCAGGGTCCATCGGGTCCGCTCAGAGTATAGGTTGGAGTACAGCTCGGCGATCCGACACGCACGCCGCAGTCTCTGGCCGGTGACGAAGCCGCAGTGGTCCGCGAATATGGACATCAAACCTTTGCCTCTGTTTGCCGATCTCGTGGCGGTCCCTCCGGCGAGGACGCCCATTCGGTGGAGCGTGGATAGGAGCAGGCCCACAGCTTTGCCCAGCCACTGTGCCGAGCCTCGGCCGTCGTCCTCCTGCGCAACCCGCCGGAACGATCTGACCCCCGGAAGCCTGAGTGTCCTAACACTGACCTCGGTGGAGACACGGCGGGGCACAGAGTGAAACATGACTTGCTACGACCGTGGCGCGAGCTCCCAGCACAGGACAAATCCTCCAAAACTAGGCTAGCGAAGTTGCGAGTCAAAGTTTTCAACCTATAAGCACTAGGTGATTGTTAACAATAAAAGTATTGGGGCAGATTTAAGGTCGCAAATGTCCATTACATTATCGCTCAGCGAACACGCGACATTTAGCGTCAGCTAACGTTAGCACGACTTTTGCACACTTTAACGAGTTTAGGTTGGTCTGAATTAAACGTGCTACTACCTGTACTTGTACATATTATAAGAGCCTCGATTCCAACGTTAAATTATTCTAAATGTGATAATATCCTAGAGACGTGCACTGTTGCACACGTCTTGCATCCTTAGCAGCTCATTTGACCTCCTCTTCCCATCGTCCGGAGACACGCCTATCCGGAAGTTAAAAGGCTTACAACCTTCTAACATGTGTGCTGATTGGACAGGTCGAAACAATAAGGCGATTGTGATTGGTCACAATGGGAGTTCGTCTGAGTACAAGCATGTGCGTTTGGTCAAATACAATTTCATTAAACGACTTAATAATAACAAAATCCCATACACATACATTTAATTTTATGGGAAAGACTCCATCCTTTTTTGTGTTCATTAAAGATCAAACATATTTCTTTTCAATTGGGCATTGTTAAGCAGTAAATGACAGTCACAATAAAAGGTTTTTGTAATTAATGTTTTATTATATTTTGGGCAACACGAGTTGTACGAAAATGAGAAAACACATCTTAATGGGAAGCAGAGAATGGTTCAATCACAATCATAGACGTCTCGAATCAAATGAATGAACGCGATTAACAGTAGAACATGAATGAATTGATAGCCGGCGAATTTAGCGGCAGGTGGCGTCATTTGTCCAAATCATTTATCTGACGGGCAAACGGTGATCACGCATGGAAGTAAAATATATTCTGGAGCATGTAATTAGACTATTTAAATATTATTAAAATAAATAGCGAATGGTGTTTGTAATTTAACTTCAAATAGGTTTTTTTCCAATATGTTTTCATATTTTGTATTTTTACAATTTTTTTCTAGTATCCATCCCAATTTCCGCCATGTTTTTGAGCGCATTTTTCGAAAAAGAAATGAGCTTGTAAAAAACATTACACCATTTTGAATAATTTTTAATGTATGAATACATTTTTTGGAAAATGGATCAATAGGCTACACTGAATGTGGCTGCCCATCACTCATCAACTCTTTCTAGAGTTGTTTTTTTTCTTAAGTGCAAAGTGTGAGTACTGTACTGTACTTTTTTCGAGTGAAGTGCCTGTTTGTGAAAGAAGAGTTCTACTGTCAGCTTGGTGACCGTAGCGTGGTGATGTAGTTGAGGGGCGGGACGAGTTAAGCATAAAACTCCCCCACCCGCCAGTTCGCTGGCAACAGCGAGCTCACGCACGCGGTGGGGAACCGTGGTGAAATCGAGACGGTTCTGAAAAAAATAGACTGCTGTCTATTCGTGTCAATTTGCGACACGCACCAAGGTTCTATTTATTTATTTATTTTATTTATTCACTCTTAAGAGGCCTTCATCGGTGACCGCATTTTGAATTCTACGCGGTCACTCCCTGGCGCTATCGCAACGTTCCGGTCGGCGCGCGCGCCCTTCTAAATAGCTACAAGATATTCTTCAAACGAGATTTGACAACTGGAAGTGCGGTAAGTGTTTTTTTGTCGTGGCGATTAAAAGTGCGGGACCTGTTTTTCGTCCCCGTGTCAACGAGTTTATTGTGGGTCTTCGCTAAATTGTTAGCATCCGTCGTAGCAGAGCCCGGCGAATTACAGTACTTTGCTGACACGTTAGCTTCAATGAAAACTGTTGGTCCTGCTACTACTACTACGGGAACGCCGCGTCGACCTAAAAAAAAACCAAATTTGTTTGTCGTTTGACTACTACAGAGGTAGCCAAGATACCATTCGGGGGAATGTTTAAATCGAGTTGTACTTATTACTCATTTTTACGGCACAATGAAAGTGGTCGTTTGTGCTACGAGCAGTGGTGGCCATCTGTCCGGCACTTCGCAGGTCCTGAATGCGGCTCGGCACCATTTAGCGACAGCCACTTCCGTATGTCTGTACTGTATTTCCTTACGCGATATCGCGCAGAAATGCAAATAATGAAGACTGTCGGACAATTTACTTAACGTGTATGTATAGGGTGGAGATTAAACGGCCTCAAGTGTTGAGCCGGTGCGGTGAAGATGGCGGGGGTTATGAATGGAAGACGGACACGTGAGCGTGATTAAAAAAAAAAAAAAAGCCTCGGTCCATAGTCTCCCATTCCACCGCCCACACACGCAAAGCCGCCGGTCTAGTTGAACGCCCCGAGTGTCTACAGCCGCCTAGGGTGGGATTGTGAGCTTTATATACGTATACACGCACTTAAAAAGCCGGTTTGTGCGGCGCCTTGAAGCGAAAATGGCCACCCTGCGGCACTGTGCTTGTCTTCTGGACCGTCTAAAACGCTGGCAGTAAAAAAAAAAAAAAGCGATTGCTTTGATATTTACGAAGGTGAACGTGGGGAGAGATGGGCATGCGCATGTGAAATTTTGGTGGCGATCGAAAGTAGTTTTTTAACATTTAGGCATCTTAAGCTTTTTATACACGCGCACGAAGCGTTTTCGACTGCTCCCTCCCACATACAGTATAGTAAGACGTTTACAGCTTCAGGTTATTCCACACTCCATTTTGTGTTTTAGAAGTCGTTTTTTTTATGTTTTCGCCGGCCTGGAGTAACACTTATGTGAAGTATTTTCCCACCCATAAGTGAGCACATATTTGAAAAAACGTTACAACACACAACCATTACCACACACACACAAAAAAGTAGATTTACTGTAATATTGAGTTCCTCTCAGTCCACCCACAAAAGTATTTCGGGGGAGTTTAGTTGAACACAAAGCTATTTATTCAGGTGTTTGAATTACAATAGATGGATACGAGTTAATTGTACTTTCTATCATCCAGTGGAAGAGTATTTAATTGTTCTGCCTGTCACTATACATCAGTTGCATCATAGATCAACAACAATGCCGTATGTGTCGCGAATGCTTTGGGCCAATGAAGGGTAATAGGGTAATTTCCGATGATATACCCCATCTCTCATTGGGACGCTAGTTAGGAATTGCTGATCTAAAGCAAATTTCTCTCTGTTCTTTCAGGATGTTCCCTGCTCATCTGCTACTCTTACAGTTGCACAATGGCCGCCTCATCACACCGCGCACTAGCTCAGACCCAAAGAAACTGCTGCCTATTTAGTATAATTATAGGATAGCAATAAGCCCCATAAATAGGCACTCTATACCTCTGCTTTCTTGCCTGTACCAGTAAAACTGGTGGACCTTCAAGAAAAAAATATTTATTTCTTCATACCTCTAATAATTACTGTTTGCATATTATAGCATTTTTAAAAAAGAATAATAATGGTTTCGACAACGGCAACCGTGACTGCAATGGTGGTAGCGACTACGGTAGCGACGCATAGCCCCCTAACGGGTTACCTATGGCTGCTGATCATCGGCTTCATCATCGCCTTCATCTTGGCCTTCTCTGTCGGTGCCAATGACGTCGCCAACTCATTTGGCACCGCGGTGGGCTCCGGCGTGGTCACCCTAAAACAGGCTTGCATCCTGGCCACCATCTTTGAGACGCTGGGCTCGGTGCTCCTCGGCGCCAAGGTCAGCGAAACCATCCGCACGGGCATCATCGACGTGGGCATGTACAACGGTTCCGAGCAGGTGTTGATGGCCGGATCCATCAGTGCCATGTTTGGTGAGTATGTGCGCCTCGTCTTTGATGAAACCAAAGCTGACTGAACCCTGTCGACAAAGTGCAGATTGGCTCCCTTGGATTATGCAAGCTGCCGGCAAACCGCCTGGAAATAAACATCATAAAATGTTACCATCGCTGTTAACATAATATAGCCACAGATTTTTTTTTTTTTTTTTTTTTGTCTGGCCTTGTATGCTCAAAACATAACACACAAAGTGCTCCCTAAAATAATTGGCTTTCCACGTACCTCAATAATGACCAACGTTAAAATAAAGAAGCTTAGTAGAGGGCCCTTACTTAGTAGGTGATGTTTATAATAAACATGGCAGGTTTTATTTTCCAAAAAGTGTATTTAATGTTATTGTCAGCCACTCTGTTATGGACAGTTTGAACGTTTACACTGCGTTCAAATACAGCAAAAATGCTCTTCAAAGTTAAATATAACTGAACTCAGCGAATATTCTTTTGTGGATATAAAAAAAAAAAATCTGTCTCGATTGTCTTCAGGTTCTGCCGTGTGGCAGCTGGCTGCTTCATTCCTCAAGCTGCCCATCTCCGGAACACACTGCATCGTCGGCGCTACCATCGGCTTCTCGTTAGTAGCCCGAGGCCAGCAGGGAGTCAGGTGGCTCCAGCTTCTCCGTATCGGTAAGTCGCGCGTGACTCACGAGCAAGCTTTTCGAGAGCCTCAGTGTGACTTCGAATGGCTTCTGGCTGCTTTGTTAGGATAATAGGCTACTGTAACTGGGCGTTTTTGGTGTCGAACCTGGCCGTTACGGCTCTCGCGCACGGCAGGAGTTGTCGCCAAATCCTTATTGTGTCCATCCAAAGACGGTTTTAGGCCCATCCCCTCCACACAGACGCAAAAAAGACGCCGCGGGGTCTAATTACTAATGCTGGCGGTAACTGACGTAACCGGAGATACTGAGCAAGCGTTTCCTGTTTGTAACCTGATGGGCGGCAGTTGCTTCCGAACAAGTTGAGCCACTGAATCACTCCAGATTCGAATGGGGAAGAGTGGATTGAAATGACACATTGTTGCCAAACATGTAGAGACTTTTTTTTTTTTTTTTTAATTGCGACTGAGGTTCTAACTGGCCCGTTTGGTTTATTTGCAGTTGTGTCCTGGTTTCTGAGTCCCCTTCTGTCCGGTATAACGTCTGCTGTGGTTTTCTACTTTGTGCGCGTGTTCATCTTGCACAAGGTAAGTTTTTAAAATGAGATCCCGGCGTGATGTAAGAAGGAAGTTGTTGTTTTTTTGTTTTTTTTTCCTCCTGGGCGTGATTGAACTGCAACCGCAAGTGGCTGGTTGTGGTTGTCCTAAATGCGATTTTTCTCTCCTGGCAGAAAGACCCGGTGCCGAATGGGTTGAAGGCCCTGCCTGTGTTTTACGCCATAACCATGGGAATCAACCTGTTCTCCATCATGTTCACTGGGGCTCCGAGTGAGTGTCACCGTCTCGTTGACATTTCTCTCCGTGTTTGTCCTTAGCCGCAGCTTAAAATAACCACCCCCCCCCCTTCACGCAGACTGCGGGGTGCCCACGCATATTCCAGACTCCACCAGACTGTTGATCCTTATAAATGTGTTTATTTGAACATGTTTTTTTTTTTTTTCTCGGGGCTTTCTCGGTTGCCAATGGTTGGAAGCGGGGTCGTGGGCGGAATGAAAACGTTAAAAACGGAGCGCAGCGGGCAGATGGAAATAAGAATTCACTTAAGTCTTGACGTCACTGTCTGTGGCCTTTCGGACACGAAGAGGAAAAGAGAAGTAACGAGGGTGTTGTCATTGGTTCTATTTGTACTAGCGCTTGTAGTCTACGAGTTGATACGTCACTGTCTCTGAATAACATGTTGCCCCTTTTGAACGTCAAGAAACACGTTGATTAAACGAGCAACTTTTGCTCCTTTTGTGTTCTTCTCTCTGCAGGGCCTAACAAGATGTTAGCTGGCCTGGGCCATTAAATGGTGGCTACAGGCCAGAGTAGGACCAGATATGGTGCGCTGATGTGCACGTACACATCAGCGCACTGAGAGGCGATCACTTGTGGGTTCCGTCGTAACCCACGAGCCTGCTTAGCCAGGCGCATTCTGTACAATTGTCCTTGTACTTGGGTTAAAAAAAAAAAAAAAAAAGGTGGGCGAATGCATTTTAGACACATCAACAAATGCCTATTGCATTGTCGGTCAGACATTTTGCCACTTGGTGAGGAAGCGGCGATTGTATCTTGAAGTGGGCAGCAGGTGTGTTTTCCACTTGTGGTTGTAGCCAAGGAAGGATAGTACACTTTGGTTTCCTGTGATAGGACTCTGGTGGGGGGGTCTTCAGATGGTATCGGAGCGGTGCCGTAGGATACCAAACATGCCGGATCACATTCCAGCACTTAATATACACACGCCAGTGGCACAGACCAAGTCAGCAAAGCCATCGCAGGGCATGGCGGAAGAAGGGGGGGTGGGTCCAGCTGCCCATAAGCAAGCTCAAGGAGGACTTCACTAAATATATCACGAAGCTTTGTTCATGAACGAGAACTCTACCCCGCAAACAAACGCGTTACGATTGACGGCGCAAACGGCGATCAACAAATCCTCTTGTTTGCACGCCAGACAGAGCCGAGTGCGTGTCTGGGTCAGTGTCATTGTGAGGGGACAATCTGACCCTTGCGCCAGCCTCCATTGGTTGGGGGAGCTCAATGTGTTGAGCTGAGCGGGGATTTTTCTGCCTGAGGTACTCTGGAAAAACAAACGCCCCTCCGCGTTTGGTGCTGTGGTGACACTGGGCACTTTTTCTCCTCAGCGCTAAAGCGGCAAACAATCGGTCAAGTCACCCACGCGTCGGTGAATTATCACTCTCGCTGTCACTTGTGTAATTAAAGTTGGCGGCTCACTGAAGGGGGGGGTGGAGAGAAACACTCCATGCAATTGGGCAACGTGGCCCACGGTGTGCGGAGGTTTTCGAGGATGGGCGTGGAACGCCACCGTGGTCAAAATTCCATTTCCTGCGCAGTCCCGTCAATTCCACCTAATGGCTGCGGTCGGACTGTTTTGCCGGATGCCTGCAAATGAGTCACGATGACACACACGCGCAGGCGTGAATTAACGTCTAGCCCCCAAACCCACTTTATTTTTCAAGACGGCTATTTGTGAACATGTCATGAGCCGCGTGAAGGGCGGCGAGCTCAGCTGTCGGCCGAGCCGTACCCCTCTGGTTATTCTCCTCAGGCCACGCCCACTCTCCGAAGGGCGCGTGTATCGCTTACATAACTGAATAAACAGCAGCGAGGTGCTTCTGCGGTCTCATGCTGCGGCGTAGAGATCCACTGCGGACTCTGCCCTCAAACTCTTTATCGCTTGACCTCGCTCTATTTCTGTTTGCTTGTCTTGTGCTAAGCTTTTTTTTTTCCTCTTTTTTTTTGGGGGGGGGGGGGGGCAGCAGACATCTTGCTCCAAAAAATTACTTTGTGCCCGCGCGCTGCACCAACCCTTGCTGCAGTGTTGGCATCAAAGTGCTCTTCTTGCTCCGACTCCCCCTTCCCTCTCACTCTCTGTGGAAATGTCACCTTTGAAGAGGAACTCCTCGGCACTCTGCTCTTGTTAGGCTTCATGCTAACGTTGTTGTTTTTTTTTTTTTTTTAAGATGTTACATAAGTGTTCACATCAAGGGGGTACGCGTGTTGGACTCCAGCTACAGAACACCGCCAATGGGTTAATATTGACATACAGAGCACGGCGAGGGCGCGTGGCTCCGTGTCAATGCGACACCGCCGCGGCTCAAATCGGAATCGTTCCGTACCGACGACGCATTATGTGATGATAAACACGCTAGTGGATGGGCACGCTAATTGAGTGAACAGTTTTTGGAGAGCTTATCCACGGAGGAGATTGTGCCTAGCCAAGTGGTGTCTGCCCCGACGTAAATAACGTCACATATAGCCTCGAGTGTCTACGACGGAATGCAGTCAGGTGGCCATCCCTGTTGAACGTCAACACCTCAAACGTGCAAGCTGCCCACAACGAAAGGTGGCGCCCGCTGCCTGTTTAAAAACTTGCCTTTTTTTTTCCTCCCCCCCCTCCTCCTCCTCCATTTTGTGCGTCTCGTTGTGTGCGCCCGGTGGTCCTCCAGTGCTGGGGTTCGACAAGCTCCCCTGGTGGGGCATCCTGCTCATCTCGCTGGGCTGCGCGCTGCTGACGGCCGTGGCGGTGTGGTTCGTCGTGTGCCCGCGCCTGAAGAAGAAGATTGAGCGTAAGTGGAAGTCGCCCTGTCTGCCGAATCGCGAAAATGCTTTCCTCGCTGACCCCGGCGTTGAAAGCTCTTAGCTGGTTCAAGCGATAGCCACTGGGATAGTTTACTTTTTCATCGAGTTACTGTTTTTTCATGTCAAGTGCCAGGCAAGTGGAGATCGTAGTGATCTAAACGAATTTGCCTTGCACATGACTGTCTTAAAAAAAGTTGTTGTTGACTGTTCAAGTGTTGACACCACATTTGCAATGCGCATTTGTGACCCGACCGACCGCCTCGGGTCAGGCCACAGCCGGTTTTGGATGACACGTGGTGGCTGCATGCATAGTCAACAACACACGCAGAATATTGGCAGGCTGCGTCCACACAGACTGGCAGCTCCTGGGTTTCATCTGACCTACTACTTGTCCACAATCTTGGAATATTTTTTGCGTCACACCAATTTTTTTTTTTTTTAATTGATCTCATTAAATGGAATCTATTTATTGTATTATTAAAAATATTGGTATAATAATCACTTGTAGAAACTACTGTTTTTTGGAATGACTTAATGACTCAACAAGTAGCTTCTATTCCTTTTAGTATTGACATTCAGCGCTTAATAACAGAACATTTTATACACACGCACCTCCGATACGAATGACCTCGCCTCACGGATTCATCAAAGACGGAAAAAAATAAACATGTAGCCCTTGAGCACAACCTTTTCCCCACTCTCGCCATACCGTATCGCGCTATCCGCCAATGTCATGTGAGACACAAGACGGCTTTCATAAGGGAAGCTGGAAGCGTTAGTGTAAATACGCATCTGGTCATCTGATCCTTAAACAGTTTTTTCCCCCCTCGCTTGGTTATGTACTTATGTGAAAGGAACGCGACGCCTCACTGAGTTGTGGATGTTTGGACGAGTCCCAAGCGAGGTCTCACTCCCAACTCTCCTCCCCTTACTAGGAGATATCAAGTCTTCCAGCCCCTCGGAGAGCCCCCTCATGCGGAAGAGCGAGCTGAGGGAGCCCCACTGTCCCATCCTCAAACACACCGACAAGGAGGCATCGCCGCCGGCCGCCGATCAAAGCGCCGCGGCTCCGCCCCCTACCGAGGAGCGCCGCGTGGCGTTCGACATCGGCGACGGCGACGAGGGCGACGCCGTCAAAGAGCGCAAGGTGGCCTTTGACGTGGGGGGGTCGGACGAAACTGAGACGGAGTGTAACAATGCAAATGGTGGTAAGTGGAGGGTTTTTTTTGGGGGGGGGGCAGTGGGACTTCAAAGACCCTGGAGAACTGTAAAAAATCTTTAAAAGTCAGACTAGAAGGGGGCGCACGAAACTTTACAGTGCTTCTCTTGGGTACCCCCCCCTAAATGAATGTCTCAGAGTGGACCTTTGTGTCTTGCGCTCCAGTCCCCAAGCAGCACAGCAACGGTTCTGCCACCGGACCGCATCAGGTCCAGTTCACCAACCGGCCGGCGCAGGTCCCGAGCAACGGCTACAGTCAGTACCACACGGTTCACAAGGACTCGGGCCTCTACAAAGACCTGCTGCACAAGCTCCACCTGGCCAAGGTGGGCGACTGCATGGGCGAGAGCGGCGACCGGCCCATCCGTCGCAACAACAGCTACACGTCCTACACCATGGCCATCATCGGCATGCACGCCGACTTCAAGCACAAGGACGGCGACGGCCAGGATGGGGAAAAGGCCCCCGGGCAGGGCCAGGACAGGAAGCGCATACGCATGGACAGCTACACCAGCTACTGCAACGCCGTGGCCGAGCACGCCGCGCCCGAAGGCCTCGGTGAGGACGACGTGGCGCTGGAGATGGGCAAGGAGGACGCGGGTAGCACCCAGAGCTCCCTGGACGAGGACGGACTGGACGCGGACAAACCCGAAGTGTCCACGCTCTTTCAGTTCCTTCAAATTCTCACCGCCTGCTTCGGGTCCTTCGCGCACGGAGGGAACGACGTCAGGTACGGCATCGGTTTGTCGCGGGGTTGACGCGTTGCATCGAAGACTCCGGCGCTGACTTTTCCCATTTGGGGTCGTGCAGCAACGCTATCGGCCCGTTGGTGGCGCTTTGGCTGGTTTACATCACCGGCAACGTGATGTCCACTAAAGCCACGCCCACGTGGCTGCTGCTCTACGGGGGTCTGGGCATCTGCATCGGCCTGTGGGTCTGGGGCCGCAGAGTGATCCAGACTATGGGCCGGGACCTCACTCCCATCACCCCCTCAAGGTAACCTCCGCCTCCCTTCTACCAACATGAGATATCATTGGGGTGGGGGGTTGTTACAGTACCTTCTCGAGTCTGGAGGATTGCGTTTATCCAAAGTCCAAAATAATAGTAGTTATGCAATGTCACTTTGACTATTTCCGACAAAAGTTGATTGATTCATCAATATATTTTTTCTATTAATTTACCTAGGTTGTAAATTTACCTTAATAATTTAAAAAAATGTCAATAATTTAAACTAAATTAATTTCTCATTAAAAAAAGGTGATACATCTCAGTCTTGATAAAATAATTGGTTGGCTGTCATTGAAAATGGGAATTTCAACAAAATGAATAATTATGCATGTGCATTTAACAATTGATGAAATTCAGTAAAGTGAATGGATAGGACAAAAATATATATATATATTTTTTTTCCTTGAACATTTCCCCACCCCCCCGTGGCCTCCAGCTATCCCCGATTGAGCGGAATGTTAGGATATGCATCGAAAAAGCCTCGTTTTGTTTACCTCTTCCCTCACGTCCACAGCGGTTTCACCATCGAGTTGGCCTCGGCTCTGACCGTGGTGGTGGCGTCCAACATCGGCCTGCCCGTCTCCACCACCCACTGCAAGGTAGGCTGCGCTCCCGCTGGATGTCGTCAAGTGTGGTCGGCTCCAGTAAACAGGAAGTCGGCTAGACTCAAGGGGAATTTTTCTTGCGTCAGGTGGGCTCTGTGGTCGCCGTGGGCTGGCTGCGCTCCAGGAAGGCGGTGGACTGGCGTCTCTTTCGCAACATTTTCATGGCCTGGTTCGTCACCGTGCCCATCTCGGGCCTGATCAGCGCCGCAATCATGGCCATCTTCATCTACGCCTTCAACGGCACCCTGTGAGCATTCGGTCCCCTGCCGGGAAGAAGAGGGAAAAGACGACGACCACTCCGGCGCCCACCGAGAGGGGAGCGGAGATATAAGAGGTTCATATATCGCTTACCTCAAGCCAACAGAAAAGGATGAAAAAAAAAACCCAACTCTGTGTTTAACGGGACTTGTGGTGTAGGCCTTTTGGTTCATGGCTGCATCATGTAACAGCCCACAATGTGTTGCTAGATTCCAGCTGAGCCTCCCATTGAGAGGAAACTCTTGCATTTTTGTTCTCACCCGCTTTTTCATATCTTATTCTGTCAAAGGCAACAACTCGATTTTCTCATACTTTTTTTTTTGTACTTTGCAGTTCTGTAAATACAACGGTGCCGTTTTAACTGTTAAAAAAAGTTAGGAAAAGAACAATTAAAATGCAGTATTAGACTTGCAGATGTAAGTTTTCTGTTTCAACAATGAGCTGGAGGTTGGCATTGGCGCAAAAGCAGAAAAGCGCGTCAGTGTTGTGTGAGCGCGATTCTATCAGATTTATTTTAGATCAGGCTTCAGGCATACTTGGGAAAGTGAGACTGATGTATTCATGACATTACGTACAACTAAAAATCCCAGTTGAGGGGCTGCTAATCATCGAGAAACATTTGATTCATCATATCGGTAACGATAGACGAGAGCGAAAAGCAAATCGTGCATCAAAGCCGCGAGGGTGTCCACAAAGAAATACTTTGAACGACACTCTTCACTTTTCATTTACGCTCAAAACCGAGGAAGGTCAAGTGCTAAAAATGTTGAAACATATGAAGCAACCTAACAATATCCGCTTTGTGTTCTAGGCGACAAAGCAAATGGTTCGTGTGACATTGGACCGTTTTTCTTGCGCGTGTGACCATGTTCAATGTTAAGAATATGCCGCGAGCCAATAAAAAGCGAGGTGCGGAAAGTAATTGGGTCACTTTGCCGAATAAACGCGCCTTGGGAAGCATCCGTGCAGCTACTGAAACACTGAACAATATCGTTACTTGAATTGGATGTCAAAGAAGAATGTAGTTTTAGCTTGATGAGATCAATCTTTTGTTACATTTACTCGAGGGTGTCCAACTGCTGGTTTAATCCCCCCCCCCCCTTCTCTACCGCAATCGAATAATGTGTGGTGGATTTGAGGACGGATGTGTTGCATTCCACTGGTAATTTGCGTTTTGATCATTCTGCCCGTAATCTTTAAATGCATTTCACACTTGTACATGCTCTAGTTGCCTTAAAGTGTTTCATTTGCTCTTTAGGTACCAAAGATTTTTTTTCTTTTTTTTTAAATACATATGAACACACTGAGCCACAATACGGATGGAAAAAAAAATTAAAATTGAAGAAGCAATGATGTGTCTAAGTTGTTCAATAAAAGTTGAGTTCTAACTCTGTTTTTTGTTGTTGTTTTTTTTTAACTCCTTACATGGATTAGAAATCGGAAAATTACAGCACAGTGATTAAGTGGTGAGCACGGTTCCGGGTTTGAATCTTAAGCCCAAGAATGTGTATACTTACCAGAAATGAACAGCTTAATTAGCCTAAATGTGTATAATGACATGTCCAACTTAAAATATTTACAAAAATTCCCCAGTCAAACTTCACACGGTTTCCGGAACTTGTAATGAAGTTGTCGGTAAATTGCCGTGTCCCTTTTACAAAGCCGAGAAGACAAGACACAATATTGTTTCCTTTTTTTTTTTTGTTTAATTGGGTTGGCGTTGCCCCTCTGTAAAATTGCTCCCATCCAAATGGGGTGCGTGCTCTCACTGGAGTTCTTCTATTAGGTGGGAAAAGAACACACACACACACAAAAAAAAAGAGGTCACTGACCATTATTACGATGACTCACATTCAGCTTCCTGTCGACTCACAACTCACTCGGCAGGTTTTATTCAAACATGTGCACTAACGTGTTGACTAGTTGTCTCTTACCGGCTTCAACAACGCCATTCATTCTCTAAACACTGCGTAAAGTAGCACACGCAAAAATAGATGCAGGATAAATCCAGAACAATAAGGAGCGGGGTGGCCTTCAAAAAAAAGAACTGTCCTGATTTGTGCCCTACATTTCCAAGCCAGTCCGAAGATCTGCAGCATTCCCACTTGTTTTTGGCACTTTTCAGTAAGCAAATTGTTAAAAAAAAAAGATGAATACCCATAAGTGTGGTATGTGTAAATGTTGAGGTCTCAGCCAAGGTCTATAAAAGGCTTTGGACTATTTTCAGCTGACCTAGACTGGCTGTGTCCAGTTTGTCCCAAAATGTGCTGCATTGCATAAGCTCACATTCTCTCTCGACCTGACAGTCACTTTTATTGCATGCACGCGTGCACAAAGGCTGCGTTGATACGTCGGCATGGGTCAACGGGACAGGCCGCGATTGCACAGTGAGATGTTTCAACCATTAAAAAAAAAAAGAGGCCAGAGCTTTGCATTCCCCAGCTTTGCACCTGCAACTCTTCTAAGGCTAAGCTACGTAAAAGGTAACCGACCATTATTACGATGACTCACATTCAGCTTCCTGTTGACTCACAACTCACTCGGCAGGTTTTATTCAAACAGGTGCACTAACGTGTTGACTAGTTGTCTCTACCGGCTTCAACAACGCCATTCATTCACTGAACACTGCGTAAAGTAGCACATGCAAAAATAGATGCAGGATAAATCCAGAACAATAAGGAGCGGGGTGGCCTTCAAAAAAAAGAACTGCCCTGATTTGTGCCCTACATTTCCAAGCCAGTCCGAAGATCTGCAGCATTCCCACTTGTTTTTGGCACTTTTCAGTAAGCAAATTGTTAAAAAAAAAAGATGAATACCCATAAGTGTGGTATGTGTAAATGTTGAGGTCTCAGCCAAGGTCTATAAAAGGCTTTGGACTATTTTCAGCTGACCTAGACTGGCTGTGTCCAGTTTGTCCCAAAATGTGCTGCATTGCATAAGCTCACATTCTCTCTCGACCTGACAGTCACTTTTATTGCATGCACGCGTGCACAAAGGCTGCGTTGATACGTCGGCATGGGTCAACGGGACAGGCCGCGATTGCACAGTGAGATGTTTCAACCATTAAAAAAAAAAAGAGGCCAGAGCTTTGCATTCCCCAGCTTTGCACCTGCAACTCTTCTAAGGCTAAGCTACGTGTTCAATTTATTTCGATTTTTGCAATAGTACTGTGTCAGTATTGGTCACGAGGTACTTTATGCAGGTTTAGTGTCGGATTTTGACATCAGGACAACACTCGGTGGGATTTTTTTAAATTTGGGGAAAGTTTGGTGGGAAAGTTTGAAATTTGAAATAAACTATTTTATATATTTTCCAAACACACTTCACATGATGTAGACACTGTGTGTGTGCGTGCGCGTGTGTGTATACCTTGTTCCTTGGTTGAATCCTTGCCGTCTTCTACACAAAGATGAGGGGGGGGAAAGGCCACAATATTAGGTACACCTCCACAAGTGGCGTGCCTCAATACGTCCGGTGGGTCGTCTCGGTGTTTTGACTCAAATCGTGTGCGCGCGGCTTTTGATGACGTGGGACAAAAATGTCAAAAATTGTTACACTGGATGACAGCGCGGTATTTTGTTTGATAGCGTGGCGTCATTTCTTGCATTACGCTGTTTTGTGTTACGTAATAGAGTGTAGTATGAGGTCATGCCGTGCCGTAGTGTGAAGTGTGGTGTTGTATTGCGCTACAGAACGTGATGATGTGTCAGATTACATCGTGTTGTTTTGTATGGTGTGTTTTCTGTACTTATTTGTGCGCCATATGACGTTATGGTATGTTTTGTGTGCTGCGCCACGTAGCGTAGGTATGGTGTCGAACGGATGTTTTGTACCTGCACGTGTTGAGCATGTAGCGAGCGTGGGCTGGCTTCGCGTTGTAATGGGAGAGCTCTCGCGCGAATACAACTGACAGTGTGTGAAGATTGAATTCTATTGGGGGTGTGCCAACATTTTCTTGGCACTTTCACCTCGCTTACCTGAAGTGCCCTCTGGGCGCGCGGGTGTCGGCTGCCGTTGCTCTGAAGGGCGACAACGATGACATGACATCATTTCTAAGGACCGTTTATACTCTATAGAGTCGAGTGTGCGCTTCCCACCATCTGCCGCCATCTCCTCCGAGGGTCGACAGTTCGCACCTGCGCCGAAAGATAACAAGGTCATGTCGTATTTCACACTCGTGCTCGACTTCGGACTTAATGTGTGCGCGTAGCATCCCGGCACGTGTTGCACTCACCTGCTGCGTCGCTCAAAGTCTCACCTCGCACCTCCCCTGTGGAAATAAACGCACCGGGGACACTCAGTGGAATCGTACGGCCGCTTAATATGATGCTGCTGACTGTTCTCGCCGCTTTTCTTGACCTTCACATGATAGTAGCTTGTATTTATTATATTATTCATACATAAGTCGCCAAGCCACGGCGCTCCAGCTGTGGTGAAAGCCACAAAATAGATAAAAGATGGATTGTATTGTGGCTTCTGGAAACAAACGTCTCTTTCATGGTACAACTGCCGTTCACATCTGCGGAAAGACGACTTAGTGATGCTCGTAGAATTGTTTTGCTTCATGCCGCACTGCCTATTTGTATAGAATTGCCATTCTCGTCTGTGTATACTGTATTCTTGCCGCTGCTCAAATTCAATTCCGTACCGACGGTGCCGATTTATGTACGATTCACATGCACGGTACACGATTATTTTGGAGCTGCACTTGCCTGCCGCATCACGGACTGAATCCTCACGATACACTTCCACTGCGGAAACATCATCGGTGACACTTATTAGACATACGCACACTACTTATTAGTCAGGTGCTAATATTCGAATAGATACCAGATTCATCCGTAGCCGCCTCTGTTCGGAGAGTTAACACAAAGCACAACGTTATGACACAAACCCGGACCAGCCCATCAAGCGACGTTGGCAGCTGCACTTACCAAGGTAGCGCCCGTCTTCACCTCGCTTCTCTGTAACTAGAAGACAGACGCCGCTTGAATTCGACGTAGTCACACAGTAGTACATGTTTATGTTACAATAATAATAATAATAATAATGAATCAGATTTTTCTAGAATCGTACTGTTCAACTGAACGGCGTCGTTCTTCTGAGCAGCCTCAAACTCCAGCTGATCTGAACACACGCACAGAGTAAAATAAGACATTAATACCCGATATTTTGCTTTATATGTGCGTTAGCGTTATTATAATTAGCGTTGCGATGTAGTTATGAACACCACAAGGCATAATGTCACTCTTGTATATTTGCTGCGATAACTTCAAGTATTTTACAACAGGGACAACAGATTTATGTTGCACTTCATTTTATATCATTGTGTACTATTTTTTTGAAAAATCATCCTGTGGCACATTTGACAATAGAAGCAGCAAATGAAAGGCTATGAATAAAAAAGGCAACTCACTGACATGTCAAATATGAAATGTACGTCACCTATTTTCCGCAGTTCTGTCAGCGCATCTGCAAGGAAAAAAAAAACAAAAAACAATGGTCAACAAGGTCAACATGTAATCAACTTTATTCGATCAGCCTCGATTTTTATTTTTTTTTATCATCATACCAACTCACCGTCATGACCCCTTCGGGCCTCCACAGCAGATTGCAGCGAAGCCGAGAAAGCTATAAGGCAAACGCAAAAGACGTGAACGCAATTCAAATACAAAGTGCCCAACTGATGATCCGAGTTTGGTTGCCGGCGTCTTACCAGACTGGAAAGATGCCGCAGCAAGGATGGCAAGAAGTGGCGTCAGAAATCTCATCTTCGCTGTTTCCGCTCGTACGTGTTGACAAACAGCATCGACGCTCTTATATGTCCTCTTGAGGGCCCGTCACATGTCCCGCTTGGATTCTGGTACCATTGTTTCCCCCCGCCCGGACCCCCCCTCACTACCTGAGTCACATCAGCACAACAGACTCATCCTTATTCAGATGCTCAATGGACGCCCATTGTTCGGACTTTGATCACATGGGCCTTGATGGGGGGAATAAAAAAAAAAAAAAGTGGGCAACGACGATGGTGATCAGTGAAAACAATGTTTATTTCCTTATGAACATTTCAGATTTAATTTGGCGGATTTCGATTTTTACTAAACATCAAATAGGTGAATTGTAAACAGTGTTGTAAAAAAAAAAAATTAAACCCTCTTAGTTGTGCTCATGACTGTTTGGCGTCTTGGATTTTGTCAATTAAAGTGCTTTGGAAAATGGTTGACTTTGAAAAATATCATCGGCAATGTGATACATAAATACAAAAGCACAATAGAGCACGTGTGCAATCGTTGCAAACATTTTTCTTCCTTCTGAGGGGCCCCGTCGTGAGATTGGCGTTACACCAGGATGGTTATTCTCCTAAATAGTATTAGCGGGTCTTTCAAAACCAAAATGGCAATTTGATTGTCTATAAAAATAAAAAAAATAAAAAATAAAAAAAAAATTTAAAAAAAAACAACTCAATGTTTGTCTGTTGACGTCGGTCAGAGGGAGGGAGTTATCCTGAACAAACATTCCTTTACCCTATTTGATTGTCTAAAAAAAAAAAAAAACTCAATGCTTGTCTGTTGAGGTCGGTCAGAGGGAGGGAGTTATCCTGAACAAACATATTTACTGACACATCAAGAGGGAAGCTAAATTAAGGCCAAAAGGGAAAATAAGGCCGGGTCTGACATGAAGTGGCCACCATGAACCAAGATGGATTGGACCTGTCAGAACCGCTACGGGTGATAGATTCATAATAGCACACCAAGTTTCAATGACGACACGTACATAAACCGTAAAAATCCCGTGAACGCACACCCCAATGAATCAAGATAGCCCAGTAAAGTGTATCTACTTTTAAATTCAAGTTAAAAACAAAGCTCTTTTCCCATACCTATGATTAAGGTCCTACAAAAAAAAAAAAAAATCATGATTTGAAAAGGCCTCTCTTTCAATAGTTCTGATAAGACAATACAGTATTTCTGTGAACGCACACCCGTGTACAATATGCCGCCCCCACCCCCAATGAATCAAGATAGCCCAGTAAAGTGTATCTACTTTTAAATTCAAGTTAAAAACAAAGCTCTTTTCCCATACCTATGATTAAGGTCCTACAAAATAAAAAAATCATGTTTTGAAAAAGCGTCTCTTTCAATAGTTCTGATAAGACAATACAGTATTGACAGCTTAATGCGACGTGACGAGTGTCGGCCGAGTGTCTCACTTAATTCCAGTGTCATGTGACCTCAGGTCACGACATCTTAGTGCGGATTTTCCATCTTCTATTCTTAAGTACTCCTCGTCAAATCGAGATAGCGATTCTTGTCGAACTGGCCCGGACCATCGGGCCGCTATTAACGTCGAACCCTGTAAGGGCAATTATCTTGCAGTACACGGCGACACCTAAGCCATCCAATTCCAAGAGCGACTGTAGTAGAAATGAACGACTCTGTGTAGTAGTCATGTCGAACAACTTGAACACCAATATAAGCAACAACCACAACGATAAACGTGAAATAAAATAGCTGTCAATCAAAACTGTGCATCCAAGGCAGAATCTCGTAAACAACTCTCGTGTCGGATCGCGCGATTCTAATCGTTTTTTTTTTTTTTTTTTTTTTCTTCCGCGAAACGTGCGTTCCGGTGTTGCGCGGCTGACTTGAAGCGAGAGCGGGGCCATCGTGACGCGACAAAAACGAGCAAACTTTTGCACTCGTTGGATTTTTTTAAAGCGAACAGACGGGTCGGGTGATTTGAAGATTGGACCGAATGAATGAGGGAACGGCACGGCACGAGACTTTGCCTACGCTGTGTGGATCAGTTCATCTGGAAGCGATAACAAGACATGTTTTTGTTCAAATCCTCACATCCAAATAATTTTGTTCATCGAAAATAAGAGTCTGACCCTGATAGCGCCCGGATACCTGACGTTTTAGGCCCAAAGCCGTGTTCTTCAGAGCTCCCCCCGCAAGCGCGTGTGCAGGTCCTCTCGGTCGATCCGGCCCGTCTGCTCGTGCCAGCGGTGGTGCGCCAGCAGCGCCGCGTTCCTGGCCGAGATGGCGCTCATCTCCATGGAGCTGGCCGCCCACTCGACGGCGCTGAGGTAGTAGAGCCTGTTGTGGAGGATGAAGGGCGGCGTCTGACGCTGAGGGGGGCGGTAAGTGGGGTAGGCGAGCCACGGAGTCTGCGATACCGAATCCCATGAGAGGAACAAACGACGGAGGTCCTCCTGGTCCAGCGCTCGAGGGGAAAACACTTTCCACACTTTGCTGTGGCTGGCGGGGGGTCGGTTGTAGCCGGCCGGGGCGTGGACCGGGTCGACGGACATCAAACTGTACATGATGTTGTCTTTGGAATCGGCGGTGAGAACTTCGGACACCGTGAACTCCGAGGCGGGCCGAGTGACTCCGAGGTAGGACGTGTTGAGCACGCCGTGGACCAGAGTGGAGAACACCTGGTGGTAAATGCCGGGGAACTGGGACACCACTGGTGAGGACAGACCTGAGAAGGAGATGTCAGACTTGCCCTGGTGAAGTGGGGTTGCTATGACAACGACGTCATACGTCGAGTGCCCCGCACCCGTGTCCCCAACATAAGTGACCTCATAGAAGCCGGTGGAGAGCCCTGCAAACAACAAAACAAATGGGAGATTAGTCGAGTTTACTTTTGAATGGCTTCAACGAACATCGTTGGGTAACCATCCATTTTCAAGCAGTTGATCCTCACTTGGACCTGTGATTCTCAAAATTTGGAATGTGTCGGCTCCCTCTAGTGGTATGTGGGAGGAAAAAAAATATCACAGATTTAAATGGGCGACTGGTTAAGTGTGGGCACGAGTGGTTGTTCATCTGTGTGTGCCATGCGACTGGCTGGCAACAAATTCGGGGTGTTGAAAACCGGTCGCGGGGGCTGAAGGGAGAGTGCAAAGGGGTGGACCCAGGTTGCTTGATAATTTAGAGAGATTGTGCAGAGGAATGGTCAAAGATCCGTCTTTCTGTATTCTCCCATCCATTATAGGCAGTTACAAGCATTTTTTTTGGGGGGTAGGTGTCAAATATTGAGCTCCTTATCCCATGTGAATGACAATTGAAGGGTACCTGTCTTGGATGGGCGGACTTTGAACGAAACGTTGGTCACTCTGGCTGGGATGAGTTCACTCTTGCTGTGGTAAAGAAGCCCAGAGCAAACTCTTTTGTTACCTCCATCCACCGCCCACAGGCCTGAGTCAGCCCACGCCAGTGACAGAGCCCCTGGCAGGACGACACAAACGTGTCAGCAAAAGTACTTGAGTGTGCGGCGAGGCGTGAGATTCCATACCTGCGAGGCCGTTGATACGGACACTTTGGCCGTAGGTCTGGCGCGTGAAGGGAGACACCACATCGTTGAGGAAAACCTGCGTGAATCCTTCGGCTCGCATGGTTTCCTCCAGCGAGTGATTCATCAGACTGAGGAAATCATCGCCGCCCATGGCGTGCAGGAGCCTCTCCACGCTGGTGAAGGAGTAACCGTACTGCTGGTACTGGTAGATCCTGTCGACGCAAGAAACTCTTTTCAACTTGCTGTGAGGAAATGTATTACTGTCTCCCCCCGATCCCTCACCTCATAAATTTATCCATAACACTCTCCACCCACATCTGCATGAACAGATAGTTGAGGCCGTAGCGCCAGAGCATTCGCAAGAAGTTGACGATGAACCAGTCGCTCTCCTCAAAAGTGAGCTCGCTGCCATTGAAGACTGCCTTTTTCGACGGGACATCCTGACGCGTGGAGATGCCTGACGGTAGATTGGTGAAGAGAAAAGTCAACAGTTTTAAATCAAAACTTCTTCAGTAGCCGTGATTTAGGAATTTGGAAAACATCCAATTGAATATTTGACAAATTCCTCAGCGAAACCTCTCAAGGAAATGCTCCTCGTGTGCCGACGCCATTACCTAATTTGTCAACGAAGTGCTTCATGTGGAGGTTGAGGGGATGGATAACGACACCTCCTGTCTCATATTCCTGATTTGCCATTCGGGCCGTTGCCAGTCGCCCGCCGACATCTCCGGGTTCGAATACATCTATTTTGACCGTGGGTCCGAACTCCTGCCTCAGGTAGAACGCCGCGGCCGTGCCACCGATTCCAGCGCCCACCACAGCTGGACGGGAGAAATGTCAAGACTGTCAATCAACGGTATATGGCCATCCATGCAATATGGAGTACTATTTGCAAGACACAGACAAATTAATTTCAATTTCCTACTAATAAACCCGTGGTGATAGACAACCGCATTGCGTCTCAGAGTAAATGTTTTCCCGTGTTAAATAAAAGAAGATGACCAGAACGACTTCTCAAGATTAGAAACTTTTCATAAAATCTCACCAATGCTTGTGGGTGGCTGGTGCAGCTCCGGAGCGGAGGCCAAACATCTTCTGGCGCTGTGGCATATTGTCAAGAGAAGGAAGGCTCTCAGGGTCCCAACACTCATAGTGCGTTTGAAGATCATCTGAAACAACATCAAGCATGCCAGTCACTGACTTGTGTTTTCTCAGTCATGGCTCGAAGTCTAACATGTCCTCGTTCATATCAAAACAAGCTGGGTGGAGGGTGTGTTCGTTTCACGTTTCATACAGAGTCAAGCAAAGGGAGAAATATTCTCTACGAGGACTGCCAAATTAAAAAAAAAAAAAAATCGACAAGTCTCCGGTTGTCTTTAGCGTTACTCTAACTTTTCGACATAACAAACAAGCCGACTATTACTAAGATTATTAATTTCACCACTTACACAAGACGGATGACTTCTACAAACTATGTCCACAAAGCTTGGATTGAAGCGAGACTAGTAAAATGCTGTTGGTTTGAACAATTGAAAAAAACATGAAACGACGTTCCGGTTACATTTTCTCAAAGTTTCAAAATAAAAGTAATTCAAGTTTGTTTTTGAATATTCCGAACCCGATAATGTCGTTATTTAACTTAAATCATCATAGAGGCACTTGGTTAGATTTATACCTAAAATTGTCTGACAGAATCGCGTACTAATATTGGTGATATGACCTATATATTTTATTTTCATAGATGCGCTTGACGTTCATTTTCAGTTGTTACAGATCGAAAGCACAACCAAAATTGTTTGTATATTGTCCCTCTCATGCTAAAAATGATTGTATAATAATTAAGGGCTTTTTAGACTTTTGAAAATAACCTGACCAAAAGAGAAAAAAAAACACCAAAAAATAAAAGACGGAAAAGGTGGTCTCTGGCAAAATGCAGAGCGGAAGTAATGCGGAAGTGACGAAACTGCCTGATCATCTTCAACCATGCTTGAATCGAGGTGACCTTAGTGCCTTATCTTATAGTTAAGTAAAAACAATTTCGGAATACTCCCACGTATTAGGCGCCTACGCCGTATTAATACAAACGTTGTCTTGAAAAAAATATTGGAGAGGACAGAAAAAAATATTGAAGAGAGGACATGGCGGAGGCTCACCAAGCACGCGTTCAGGCTGTGGTGGAGGAAATGGTCCAAAGCCTCGAAAGGAATCACATCCGCAAAATGCAGGTAGGGCTTCTGCTCGTGCACACTTAGTCACGTGTGTAATTACTTACGAGGTGTGTTCGTGCTGGCAGGCTCGCATGTTCAAATGCAGCGCGCACTGCTGTGATCGATCCACGGACTCCATGACTCAGGTGCATCAGTGCATCGACAAGTGTCACGCTCCTCTGGCCAAAGCCCAGGGCCTCGTCACCAACGAGCTGGAGAAGTTTCAGGTGAGGAATAGATGGAGCATTATTTTTTCCACAATCGAACTCAAAATTAGCATGTTCTGCCAGAGTTCTGAGGATCTGGGTTTGAATCGAGATTCTTCCTGTGAATAATTTCCATGTTCTTCCCTTGCTTAGTTTCCTGTGCACACAATAATTTTTTTTTTCTCACCATCAGGACCGGCTGGCCAGATGCACAATGCACTGCAACGACAAAGCGAAGGATCTGTTTGACTCGGGTGCCAAGGAGCCCGCCGTTCGGTCGCTGATGGAGCGATGCGTGGGCAGCTGCGTTGACGACCACATGAACCTGATCCCTAGCATGACTCGTAGAATCCAGGAGAACCTGGACTCTATATCCCAATGAGACAACAGATATCAACGACTGAGCCCACTCGGAGCAGTGACTATGAAGTGAAAGTGGAAAAAAAGCAGAAGACATGGCATCCAAACAGTGCAGTATGCCGTATACAGCTGGAATCATGCACAAGGTGTTGAACTGTCATATTTAAGTTTGTCATTTTTAATACAAGTACAGCCTACCTTATATGGTGGGGGATTGGTTTCTGTAAAACAATTAAACACGGTCCAGATCATAACTGCCTTTTGATTGCATCTCTTGTCAAACAGGGCAAAAAAAAAAAAACAACAAAATGCACGAGGTAAAAACAACACCATACCACTGGTCCTTCATTTGATTAAAGATGGTATGTTTTTTTTTTGTTTGTTTTGGGTCCTAACAGTAATTACAACTGGCCAAAATATCTGAAATATATACGATGGTAATTATTTTTTGTTTTGGGATGATAACACTGGCACAAGAGAAATTACTGTGTTGTTGCCATGGCAACAGTAAGCATAGTTTCAATGTATAATTAAGTGGGCCTCCCCTCCATTGCGAGACTAATAAAGGTTCTCTTATCTTATCTTATCTTATCTTATCACAGATCATCAAACATCCGTGTACCAATATTATGAGACCACATAATACAAACGGAACCACTGGAGTTTGATTCCACAAAATTAGTAACTTTGTGTTAAAACAATCAGTTCAGTGAGGATTAACGCTTGACTTTTTTTTTTGTGATGGCAAAGCAGAAAATTGTCATCAACAGACAAGTTGGCTCAGTAAAATATGATCTGTACAATTCATAAAAACAAAAAAAAAAAACTGTCGCTCCACCTTATTGATCACCCTCCTGTTCCCACTCCATTCCATGTCTGTCAGCTAGGTTGTCTTATTAGAATACATTAAGTGTATGACTGAAGAAAATGTTACAAGAACAGTGCCTGTACAGAAAAAGCAACTTTACCCCAGGACAGATTAGTTCTAACTCCCATTTTTTTCCTAATTGTCAAAACTGTTTGGACAGAGCAACTTAAAAGTCAACCAGTGTAAATAAATAAAAAAGCAAGATGTACATTTCGATGACATGATAGCACCACAGCCCACATCATTGGGCAGTTTTATTGGCAATTAACATTTTGTATACATTAAAAAAAAAAAGTAAAAAAATATATGAATAAATGTGGAATAAAAACAAGGGATGCCACTGCAGCACGAGTGCCTTGCCTTTCTTGACATTATGAGGCAATCTCGGTTAACGGATAGGCAGGTGAAGAAATGCAGAAAAATATTGGCAATAATGTAATTACTTAAGTGGTCAACAGTTGAAACCCCGAAACCCAGCACAAAAAAAAAAAAAAGACTTGGATGTGTGCGTGCCTAAATATGCAATAGAAGTGTTTTTAACTTTTGGTGAGTCAAAGGTGAAACCGTAAGAAGACAAGTGGACCGTTGTGGTGAAAGAAGCAAGACTGTTGGCCCATTTTAGAGCACATCATCATTCAATTTCTTTGTTATAAGTAACTTGAGAGTGGTGACGACTATTTCGATTTTGGTTGAATTAGTTTCGATGTAGTTACAAGGTGAAAACAAGAAGTTGCAGAGTTGTACATGGCGTCCACTAACACCAAACCTTCCAAAGCAAATAGTAATGGTGACTCTTATTTATTAAACCAGGTGCTGTTGCTTAAGCATTTTACCTGCAAGTGTACAAGAAAAAAATTCCAGAAATTCCGGCTTTACGATGCCGAGGTGGTAAAAGTGGAAAGTCCCCGTCTTCTGACTTCCAGAAGTCTGTAGGACAGTCCCATCAATGAAGTGAGGTGACTGGTTTGTGGACCACTATCATCAACATTAAGTGTCCACAAATGGAAAGTTTCCATGTTGAGGTATGTCGTCTCATTCCACCAGCCTCCAAGTGACACATCAGTGACGTATTCCCCCCACGCTGCCTTACAGGTGATTCATTCGTGATGTGGAAGGTGCCGGCGGAGTGTATAAATAGTGCCCAACGTTACCACAAGAATGGGTGTTGGCAACCACGTGCTGATCAGGAGATGCTGCGGGCGCTTCCCTCATGCTCCGAGTGGTCCGGCCGGTGGTCGGCATATGGCGATGTGTATAAGAAGTTGCAGCACACGTAAAGCGGGAAGGACAACAGGCGGCTGTCCAGGTTCATCACCACGTACTCCTGAGAGGTGGGACATGAGTTAAGACACTTTGGACACACTTCCTGTGAGGATGGACCACCCTTACTGACCTGGTCCTTCTCAAGTGTGAGAAGCTGGTAACCGGTTGAGCGGCTGCACACCAGCTTGCCAAGATTGTCAAAGGAGGCCAAGCGTAACCTGTACAGACAATAGCAGCAGAAATTGTGAGTATTGGGATATCTGTTTGGGGTAATAAGGTATCAACCTACCCGCACTAAGTACACTGGATATAAAAAGTCTACACACACCTGTGCAAATGGCAGGTTGTTAGAGGAATTTATGAGCAAAATTGTATCATGTTTAAAGTTTCATTTAATTTGGACACATCTAAACGTTTGGGCGCGTATCCAGCACTTCCAAATGCCTGTGCACAAAGGCGCCGGCCACCTGGCCGGAGGGCTGTTGAAGTCCACAATTAGCACGTCAATGCAGGTGGGCAATCACAGGGGAGGGGGCGAAACTCGGTCACAAAAGGGGAATGAATAATTTGGGAACAGCGGTTGAACAACAAAAGACGAGCTGAGAACACCCGTCGCGCCCAGGCGACATTTGTCGTCCGCAAAGTCTGCAACATGTTGATACAGTGTGGACCAGACAGAAAGGCGCCAATGTACTGGTGGTTCAAAGCTTAAACTCAGGTAACCAATCACTACCGAGGGGCCGGACCGGGGGTGCGGTATGCAAATGTCGGGGGCAGTGTTTTCCTTGTATGTTACAATAAAAGTCGGAATTGGCGGGAAGGGAGCTCGAGAGTGTGATCATCGGAGCAACTACCGTCGTTCGCTCTCAGAGATCCCCCTCCCGCCGATATTGAAGACAATTTTCCTGTGTGCCGAGTCATTTCTTTAACTTTGTCCGAGAAAATCTCTGACACAGGTTTTTGGAATATATAACTTTTTTTCCTCCATTAAAGTGCCGCTACCTGTAGAATTAATTGAAATAAAAATATTTTCAAGAAGTAAAAATACACAGAGATAATGCAGTTGCACAAGTTGCGTGCACAGCCTCTTAGATCAGGGAACGTGTCTGTTTAAAAATAAACCAATCACATTCACACAACTGTTACAATTCAAAGTGCTTACAATTAACCCCAAATAAATTTCAGTTATTGTTGGCGCTAATGAGGAGACCATGGGAGAAAATGACCTTAAAACAAAACCAGCTGCCTATCCTCGTTCATAAACAAACAACTTGAAAAACTACTAAGCTGTGTCAACTCTTGAGCCACAACAGGAAGTGAGGGTGGCTCCTGCAAACCTGTAAGCCAGATGTCGCCGCGGCTGCAGGCTCACGGCGCCCCCACACGGCTGACTCAGCGTGTTCCTTTTGAAGATGATGAAGCGGTTGGTGTAAGTCACAAGCAGGTCGAAACCGAAATTGAAACCGGTCCATCGCCAGCAGTACTGAGGATAACAAAAAAAAAAAATGAAATGAAATATCCATCGTCCGTCCTTTTAATTGTCCCTAACCCGGTAAATATGTGGTGTCGGGAGTTTGGGGAACACCGATCAAAGTTTTGGCACATTAGGCATCTCTGCAATTGACCTAACACGTATGTGCCTAAATGTGAGAGGAAAGTGGAGTACCTGGAGAAAAATGCGATGACAAAGAAAATATATGCATTAAAATCAGCGCAATTATGTCTCAACTCACATCTCCATCTTTGGTCAGTTTTCTGCCACACCTCATGCTGCTTAACTCAAAATCCTCTTTGTTGGCTTCCTGCGGACTAAGAAAGCATTAATTAATATATATATAAGTACACACTTATCACAGTCAAACTCTTCTTACCCGTTATCATTGTCAAATTCTGTCCGCAACATGGCAAACCACTGCGTTTTGTACACCGCAGTCAACCAATCTGGAAGATGGGGGTAAATGAAACAATGTGTGGTGACAGCTTTGTGCCTTATCTCGGCATTTGTTTGCGCTATTGCTAATGAAATGAGATTAGAATTAGCAATGAAATGATGTCTACCTGGAGGTAAAATGTTGTCCCGCTCCAGCATGCGGGCAGAAGCGAGGTCGTTGACGATATATTGAAGACGCACGTATTTGAACACGGAGCAAAAGGTGGCCCCCTCCTCTGTGCTTAGGAAGGGCTCTCTCTCACACAGGTCTGTCAAGAAAATGCCAACCACAAACAATGGTGTTAAAAATATGCAAAAAAAGGAAAGGATAGTGTTTTGCATTCTACGCAGTACCGGTCCTGCGCTTGCACAGCCAAGCGTCGGCGTCGGCAAGAAGCTGCTTTATGGGTCCGTCCCACATGGGGTTGATTTGCAGGAACATCCACTGATGAAGAGACAAAGTAAAACGAGGCAATCAATAACGCAGTTCATCAAATGAGTGAAGCACAAAAGCAAATTTTACACACACATTCTTACATTATACCTTCTTCAGAGCAGTGTAGACATCCATCTCCACCTGCATGACGAACAGGTCAGACGACTGGATGAGCTGCTCCATCATCTCCGTTCTGGACAAACACAAGTATGTCATTTATCATCGAGGTTCCTCATTTCCCGACTTACATTTTCAATGTTAAGAATGGCACGTGGCAGAAGAATGAATGTATTTCAGTGGGTTTCAATTATACACACTGATTTTCGCTTTTTGTGGGATCCACTGTAATAACTGCTTCACTTAAGACCACATACCCAATTTCTTTCATCAAGTCCACATTTTGGTGCGTCATGAGGTTGTTTAGGAGCCACTCCAGACATCTGCACATAGACACACACACTGACCATGAGCGAGAAAGAGCATTCGGGGAATTTTGTAGCACAACACTCTTTTGACAACAATATTCAAAAACTTGCACTATTTAACAAGTCCTCATCAACTAAAACAAAAGCTCGCACATGGAGTTTGTCAGCCGTGTTGTACTTTACGCAGAACATTTTGAGGTCAGATTTCTAGAGCTGTTGGGGAATGCAAGCACTGACTTTTTCATGACGGAGTCCAAACCGTAGATGCAAGAGGACGCATAGAAGCTGCACACCGTCTTTGCACTGATATTTTCCTTCATGGTCTCACCGCACTGCTGGATCAAACCATCCTACCATCACAAAAATAAACAAAGACTGGTTTCATCTCACAGTCACTTCATACCACAGTAGCACTAGTTTAGCCAAGCAGGAATTCCGTTGACTGACCAGCTGTAGCATACAAGCAGCTGCAAGGATACTGACAACCCCACTGGGCTTGATGAGCACGTCGTCGCGGTACAAGGATCCAAAGACTACTTGCAGAGCTAAATACAAACAAAACAGAACATCATTATCAGAATGACACACAACCAATGTCACTGATAAAGAAGTGAGTGTGAGAGATCAAGAAGCTTTGCCAGTTGTGAGTCTTATGCTATCACGCAATGTCTTATGTAAATAAGGAACTATATCTCATTGCGGTTTGTTTGAGACCACTGTATCTGGACTGATATTTGTACCACTTCGGTCAGTTTCTCACCTTCTATGTCAATGTTTTGGTCAGGTATCTCTAGGTTGATTTCCATCATGTTGGACTCCTTCCAGGAGCCGCTGAACATGCTGGAGAAATAACCCGACTGGCAGGTGCCAAAAGAAGGAAAGAGTTAAGATAAAAGGTGACAGCAGGCTGGATTTACACCGCATGGTTCAAGTGACACAATTGGGATATCCGTCAGAAAAAAAGTGTACAAAAAAAAAATGTATGCAAGAGTTAAATCCAGACTTGGCACTTTGACCAACGGTTAAATCCATCCTTCAAAGGTACATGAAAATTAGCCGTGTGTCTCTCTCACCTGGCAAAGGTACAGTTTGTGAAGGTTCCACTCTTGCCCCAGTGCGCAGATTCGAATGTCGCTATTTTCTCCATTGAGGAACAACGTTTGATAAATGTAATTGGAGGTGCTTTTCAGTTTCTTCCTGTTCAAGATTTAAGACAACAAAAATGCAATGCAAGATGGCATGTGAGGATAACTTGCTGATTCACTGATTTTGATCCTGGTGACTTGCCTGCGCGGTGTATCTAGAATGGCGTCGTCATCCTCCTTGTCATCCTCGCAGTCACACTGTGTGTTCCGTTTCCTCTTCCATTCGCACCCGTGTTTGCGGCTGCTTTCGCCGGTTTCCTCCGGTCCTTTCGAAGAATGAAATCTGCTTCCAATATTCCCCATCTTTGCCTGCACAACCAGGACAAACAAACAAACTGAAGTCCACATCGCAAAACGAACATTTGCGATTTTTAGTACAACGCTTCCATCTTACATTTTACTCATTTAACACAAGATCTTGATTTAAGTCCAATACAGTTATTAAATAAGTTGATGAGCTAATTGTCGAATCAACACGGCGGTACTTCCAATCACTTCCTTCAAAACAGACACCAACAACATTTTCCTGTATCAAATCAAGTACATTACTATGACAACAGACAACAGTACGCAGGTTCTACGCGCATAACCTACAAGGACTGAACACCACTTATCCATGCTGCAGTCGGCTAAAAGGCTGCTCTCTTACAAGTAACTGTACATCTATATGATGTTTGATTTAGCACATTCAGCACGAGCATGTGACTTTACCTTTTGACGAGCACGGACCCGGTCGGGGAGGTTTGACGTGGGCTTTAAAACAAAAACCACGTCTGTTTACCACCTCACCCAGACAGCTGAGGATGGGCTTGCTCTACGAATTACCGTACAAAACAAAGACTCCAACGACGACAGCGTCGGCCGTCACAAGCAACGCATTCACAAAAGCCGACAAACCGTTTACATATTGCCCCCCACCCCACAAAAAACAATTATAAATGTAAACTGAGACGTATGCAAAAGTCTAACGACACCGAGATTCTATTGCTGTGTTCGCGTTCTCTTCTTCTCTCGTTGCATACGCGTGCATTAGGCGCGTCACGCGAGGCTGCCACGCTCAATAGCGCCCCTTGTGTCAGCTCGTGGAAACACACGTAGCAAAAAATAAATGGGATGTTTAAAACAAAGTACTGTATATTACATCCACCGCTTAAGTGTTTCAGCAGGTCAAACAACAAAACGGCCCAGGATCTCGTATCTGAACTTAAAATTAGAGACAAATTCGGCACGATTATACAGTGTTGAATTTCTTGAATGAACTCGTGTTCTCTGCTAGAGTTCAAAGTGCCCAGACGATCAATATTTGGCATCATGGTGTTTTACAAGACATGTTTGTTTTACATCGAAGGACCTAGAAGGAAATTGTAAATAAAACTAACAAATAGGTAAAACCAACCTTATTTGAATGAAAAACCTGTCCTGTATAGTTTTTTTTTTGCTAGCAATCGTCTAAAAAAACAAATTTACGCTACCAGGATATGACGTTTTAAAACTAAATTTTTGGGCGCGGTTTGCAGAAAAATGAGCCAATAGATGACGAGGTTCTCTGCGACAAGATTTTCTGTTACCGCCCCCTGGTCAGCAGGCTTTTTGAGCCTGCGTGGGACTGTGACACGTAAGTTGGTTTGTCTTGTTGACTCCACTGGGCAGGACACCTCCAACGGAGGCCAGGACAGGAGACCGAGATTTTTTTTTTTCCTGAGCCCCTGTCCCGAACTCACTGCTGCTTTTATTCAACATTTTGAACCATGGAAGCCAGAGACGCGAGTGCAGGTGAAATTGTTAGCTTGGCTAGATGCTGTAGTTTCAGTCAATGTAATAAACAAGGAGAATACAAATCAACTTGTATTTAAACCTAAAGTTGGTACCTGAAAGCATGAGCGATTATACGACTTTAATCCAAATACAAACTCATGTAAGACCTGTATAATGCGTGTGGAGGTCTTCCAATGAGGTTGTTTTGACTTAACTGTAATAACATAGGTGCTGTAGTGGGCAGCGATGGAGAGCAAAAAACTGCAAAAACCGCTGCAGCTCTTAAGAAAACAGACCGAGCTGCATCCCAAAGTAAGATGGAGCAGCTCTTCGGCTTCAAGAAGGAAGACTTGACCTCCTGGTCCAGCCTGGTAGCGCTTCTGAACCGGCCAACGGACCCTGCATCCCTGGGCATTTTCCGCTGTTTGTTTGGTGACTATCAATTCTGAAAACTATGGAAAAAAATCACCTACCGAATCGAGGTGAACAACTTCACGATCGCACTCGCTCGTGTGCGTGCGTGCGTGCAGGTCTGCTGATGGCCGTGGATATCACACAGGAGCGTGGCCTCAGTCACGTGGACTACAAGTACCTGGACGGTGCTCCCGTGTGTCGCTTTCCACTTTTCAATTTCCTGAAGCCTCTTCCCATGGACTGGATGTATCTGGTCTATCTGGTGATGTTCCTCGGTGCGTTGTACATTTCATTCCCTCCCTTCATCCCTCGCCAGTGCGCCCCTGTCTCGCTTTAGGGTAGAATCTCTGTGGGGGTGGCACAGTTACTAGACATAGCAGTTTTTTATGTCTCTCTCTCTCTCACTCAAGGTGCGTTGGGCATCATGCTGGGCTGTTTGTACCGTTTGTCCTGTCTAATGTTCATCTCGACGTACTGGTATATCTTTTTCCTGGACAAAACGGCATGGAATAACCACTCCTACCTCTACGGCCTGATTGGATTCCAACTCACACTTATGGATGGCAACAGATACTGGTGAGTGGTCGCTTTACACAAACTCAACTGGGAGGATTTTTATGTTTATGTTGCTACTTGTTAGGTCACTCGACGGCTTGAGGAGACCTTCCATCAGAAACGCACATGTGCCGCTTTGGAACTACACCCTGCTGAGGACGCAGGTTTGAGCACTGTGGCCATTCATCTTCATACATGTGATGTTTCAAATTGTCTAATGGCGTTGTCTCTTAATAGATATTCATAGTCTATTTCATCGCTGGTGTGAAAAAGCTGGATGCCGATTGGGTGGAGGGATACTCCATGTCATACCTGGCGCACCACTGGCTGTTTGATCCCTTCAAGTAGGTAGTGTTTCGAACGTGCTGCTGAAGTCCCAGCTCACTGCAACTCACCGCACCGATCCTATTGCAGGGTGATTCTTCCCGTGGAGTTGGTGAGTTTGCTGGTGGTCCACGGGGGCGGCCTCATGCTGGACTTGAGCGCCGGCTTCCTGCTCTTTTTCGACGCCACGCGGCCTTATGTGATGGTCTTCGTCACCTACTTCCACTGCATGAACTCTCAGCTCTTCAGCATCGGTGAGCTCGTCTGTCCACAGCTATTGTGACCACAATTCAATCGATTATAGTTTCATGTGGTTATATGTCAGAGAGGAGCTAATGTTAGCCTGGGTTGTTAGCGGGAGCTATGGAGCATCTTGTGCCTGTGCATTGAGCTGCATGTACACTTCTGGTGCTTTTCTTGGATATGAAATTATCTGTAAGCAGTTTGTTTTTCAAGGTATTGCCATAAGGTGAGTTTGGTTCCCGCAATGCTTGACTTTGTGTGACATTACCTTCACGCTCACCTTCCACAGGCATGTTCCCGTACGCAATGCTAGCGACAAGTCCGCTCTTCTGCTACGCCGACTGGCCGAGGAGGTTCTTCGGCCACTTCCCAGCATGCCTCGGGGGTGTCCTCCCGCTCACTTCGGCGGACCCCCAGCCCAGCTCCTCCTGCGTTTACAACAAAGCCCCTGGCAGGGGAGGCCAGCCGACACCGACCGCCTCAAAATCTCCTAAACTACGATTTAAACACAAGTTGGCGGCCGTTTTTACTTTGGCCTACATACTGGAGCAGTTTTTCCTACCTTACTCCCACTTCATCACACAGGTACAAGCATTCGCATTTTTTTGCATTCGCAGCATATAGTTAGTTCGTTGTTGCGTCAGGTTTCGGGAGCTTCAGTTTACTGTCAACAAAGCCTTATCATTACTCACGGTTGAGCAATGACGGTCAGCAAGGTCACAGGCCGGCTGATAAAATGGATCATCGTTCCGTGTCTCTGATGTCCTCATGGTTTGCTTTTTGTCCGTCAGGGTTACAACAACTGGACCAACGGCTTGTACGGATACTCATGGGACATGATGGTTCACTCCCGTAGCCACCAGCATGTCAAGATCACATACAAGGACGGCAAAACGGGAGAGGTGGGATACCTCAACCCAGGGGTGAGTTAGTGTCAACATTTCCATATTACTTGACACTTATTAGACATAGGTACAACTGCATAATATGGTGAAATCCAAAACAAAAAGGAAATATATTAAATGATAAACTATTTTCCAAACCTTCCAAGGTCTATGTTTTAAAATATTTCCACTCTGCGTGTCAGGTGTTCACCCAAAGCCGGCGCTGGAAGGACCACGGCGACATGCTGAAGCAGTACGCCACGTGCCTCAGTGACCTCCTGCCTCGCTACAACATTTCGGAGCCTCAGATCTACTTTGACATCTGGGTGTCCATCAATGAACGCTTCCAGCAAAGGTAACGCACCACACCTCAAGCTTCATTTGTAATTAACAAGCAATACTTTTGAAATTGGATCATTTCCTGCAGCCATGATGATCTCGTCTTTGCGCTCGCACTGAATCGTCACTCTGACCTCCTCCAAGGATCTTCGACCCACGCGTGGACATCGTCAGGGCCGACTGGTCGCCGTTCCGACCCAACGGGTGGCTGATGCCCCTGCTGGTGGACCTCTCGCCGTGGAGAACCAAGTTCCAGGAGATTGAGAGCACTTTGGACAACCAGACCGAGATCGTCTTCATCGCCGACTTTCCAGGTTACACCATCTCCCCGTCTAGTGACTGAACTGTTGCTACACGCATGTGTATGTATGTGCACTTACTCCATGCCGGTTACCTTGCAGGTCTCCACTTGGAGAACTTTGTAAGTGAAGATCTGGGCAACACCAGCATCCACTTGTTGCAGGGTAGCCTCAATGTGGAGATCGTGGAGGAGAAGAAGAACTATTCTCTGCAGGCTGGAGAGAACATACAGGTTAAAAACTGCACAAACAACAAAAAAAAAATTTACCCATAAAATTTCTTGACTGTACATTTGGCTGTTTAACACAATGAAATGTTGTATGGGGCAGGTGCCTGCGGGGGCTTACCACAGAGTGTACACGGTGTCGGAGGAGCCATCTTGCTACATGTACGTCTACGTCAACACAACTGAGGCGGCGTTGCAGCAGAACTTCACCAAACTGCTGGACCTCCAGGAGCGCATTCGCAACGGGACAGGTGGAAGTCAACGCGACTGTGCCGAACATCCATCCAGCCGTTTTCAATTATTATTATTACTTTTCTGTTAACACAAATTGTGACCCCTCAAAATCTATTTTATTGATCATAACCATGTCGCTGACCGGCGTAGTGGTACACTTGTCTGACCTGTGTGCGGGCAGCGTGAGATCGGTCCCCACTCAGTGACTGTGTGGAAGGTTGGATGTCTATGTGCCTGCGACTGACTGGCAAACAGTTCAGAGTCTAATCCGCCTTCCACCCCGAAGTCAGCTGGGATAGGCTCCACCATCCCCCGCGACCCTGTTCAGGATAAGTTGTGTTGAAAATGGATGGATGGATAACAAACATGAATAACATTACTGACATTGCCACCTCCTGATAATTTAGCGTCTTTAGTCAACCCCATTACATATTGTATGTTTCTGGAGTATACCTAAAGGATAAGCAGCACAAGTTTAAGGAAAACATGCACACAGATTTGAATTTGCGTCTAACCTGAACAGAAACAGAACCTCTTCCGCCCGAGCTGCAGCCTCTCATGTCGACTGGCGACGACGACGGCTCTGAAGTCAACGCAACCGACCCCGTCGTGAGGCTCTTCCTTAAGAGGCAGCGGCGAATTAAGGAAGTGAAGAAACGCAGAGAGGCCGGCGTGCTGGAACGACTTGAGCGCTTTACGGTCAGAAAGTACTACGCCATACGACGAGGGTGAGTCAAGCGGGGTACACGCAAATGAGATGTCTGTTGTAATACAAGGACTTACCAGTAGGTGGCAGAAACTTACCACTGGACCATCCAGACTGCTGGTAAATACCAAAAAAAAAAAAGACTACTACTGCAGAGTAGAAGAAAAAAAAACAGGATATCTTTTAAAAGACATCCAAAGATCAGGCCTTTGCGTTTTTTTTAATGCTCAAATTCAGCCCAATTGTCAGAATGTGTGCACCCTGAGTCTTTAACCATTCTCCGTTCACGTTTCCTTTTCTTTTAGATTCTTGATGACCGCCATCGCAGTGCGAAACCTGGCGGTGGGTCTGCCTCCGCTTGAGCAGCTGACGCAAGAAGTGGCGTTCGCCAACATGAAGGAACCCGAGGCCGAAGGAAACCACGACGAGCGTCTTAAAGATGAAGCCGGTCATGGAGAACTCTAAAAGATGTTACTGCTGGATTTGTTGGTACTACTGGACTGTTACTATGGGAAACACACACCCACAGCAAAATTGACAATGGACACTTTTGTACAAGCATTTGTCATTTCAGATGACTTCCAAACTAGGAAAAGTCAGTATTTTTGCCAAACGTGTAATCTAACACTAAAAGATGATGCTGTTTACTTTGGCTGAAATGGGACCGGATGTATTTTTGAAGGCAAAGGATTGGAGTTGGATGTGAATGCTCATTCATTTCTGTTGTTGCCCAACGACGATTACTTTGTTGTGATTCAAAATCAGCTACGTTTTAAAAGGTTGATTACTATATTTCCTTCAAACAGATAGCACAATATGATTTTGGATTTATATTGGTATATGTAACCAATGTGATGACACAAATTGTATTTGTGTAAATGGGTCCGAATGAGGCGGCACGGTTAACTAGTGGTTAGCAAGTGTGCCTCACACTCGGGAGATCTGGGTTCTAATCACACGAAGGTTTTCTGCAGGCACCTTAGCTTCCTCCCACATTCCAAAAATCTACGTTCGGTTCCGTGAAGGATAAACTGCACGACCCAACAGAGCACAACAGAAAATAGTTGGAGTGATGAAATAGAAGCGTGGCATTCATGAGAGCAGAGGTCGCTGTTTGAGGAAATACGGTATTGATGGTATACAAATGCAAACCTCCATACTGTGAGTAATACTTTGTCAAGCCTTTTTAGTCACTTTTATAAGAATAATAAAAAAAAAGCTTGTCAGTAACAGTGTGGTTTTAATCGTAAATTACTCAGTTTCATCCATCCTACGGCACAATGGGACTCTTCACACATCAGAGCACAAACAATACAATAATACGTATGGGAGAGTGCACTTCTACCAGGAGGAGTTAGTTCAATGGTTATTCAGTACATGTTGAAGATGAGGTCTTATAAAAACTGCTGTGTCGACAAATTCATAACATTGACTATTTCTAGGACATCGGTTCATTGTACATATAACGACATAAAGGAGCAGCTCAATTGGAATATTTCATATCAAGATCAATTCAAAAAAGTGAAATTCATTGAATGTGAAAGATAGCACAAGGCAAACAATTTGGCCATCTCAAGAAATGACATGTGAAACAATCCCAAAAAGATTTGTCATATAGAAATTAGGTAGGAATTGGCCTTCAGAAAAAGTAGTTCACTTTTTGAAGTGGATTGCGGTGTTACAATTCATTAAGACGCGCACGTGCGACAAAGTGTTTGATTCCATATTGCACAAAATTTGATACTAACACCCGCCTTCATTATTTGTATCCCATCTGGGACATTACTGGTACTAGTGTCACATACTGGCTACTAAGGTTTAAGTGTTACAATAAGCATTTTTTTTCTTTGTCAAAAATAATTTAAAATAAATCTCACAGGTGCAAGTACAAAATCAAAGCAAAGTAAGGTCAGTTTTCAGGGTTGAAAATGAACCCAAAGTCCCTTTTGAGTCCTCTGTGACCCAGGCGCTGGTCTTTTCAAGGGAGTGGCACCTCCCCACAATGCATTTTTTTTTTCCCCAGGAGGCCTTCAACGCCTCATTTCTCATGTGGCTCCTCAGAGCAGCTTGCAGCCCTCATTATTTTATGTTAGTCAAATAAATGCCCCTTCCTGTAATCGGCCTCTTTTTCTCAAACTTCTACACTTGATTACGAATACAAATTTCACAGTATAAGACATGATTAAAAAAAAACTGCAGATGCCTAGTTTGCTGCTTAAGTCACTTAAAACTTCTTGATTAACTTGATTAACTTCATTTATCTCCATTTTATCTTTAAGACAAAGTAAATGAGGTTTAGCTTCTCTCAGACTTGCTTCCAGGGAGACCCCCCCCCCTCCCATCATCCCCTTTTTTGGCTCTACCTGGGCTGGAGATCAGCATAGAAAACTCCATGGACGACGCCTTCAATCACGATGTTTGAAAATGCATCTAAAAGCCATAAAGCAAAAGGGAGGAGGGGAGAACTTAAAAACAGGGATTTTAATTAAATCCAAGTTATATGGGGGAAACTGAACTCACCGTGTGCATCCGGCAGCAGGTAGGGGTCATTCAGAAACACCATGATAGGCTGATGTGAAAGTTTACTGGAAGTCACACAAACAAACCGGCAATTACATTTTTTTTTTATTAATTTGAGTGACTAACTATTAATTTCTTTTGAACAAGACAACAGAACTGACGCACCTCGATTCCACTGAGTCTGTATCCAAAGATCTAAAAGAAGTCAAAATGGAGGGTAAGGCACAAAGCCTCCTAGTGGACAGAAAATTAACTATGCGCCGATAGCCACAAAAACAAGCATTTATTTTGTTGTTTGAATTCAGTCTCTACGTACCCACAGCTGTCCGTCTTTGGCAGGGATGGAAAATGGCGGATATTGAGGAAGTCCAAGAATATCTTTGGAAGAACCTCATTCTCCATAATTATAGTCTTGCAAGACAGAGAAAAAAAAAAACACTGCATTGTTACACTGCCTGGCAACTTCAGATGAACACAATCCACCAAGCCCTGACGGTATTTTATACACAATAAAAGTTATTCAAACATCATTCATCAAAATATATTTTTTGAATTAACAAACAAAACCATCTCTACAATATTGTAGAGAAAAAAAAGCACACAGTAAGTAACGGTCGGTAAGTGAGTAGAATGTACAAATAAATGTGATT